CCGATAACATAGATTCGATGAGCGTTCCCTCAGATAATCTTTTCCCGAGTCTTCGCTCAACTTCTTCGCGCAAATAAGACCATGCCTCACGAAACGCCGTGTGACCAGCATCGTCCCGTCCTGCAGGACAAAATTCGCAACGCTTTATATAAAACTTTTTAATCCTATATAAATATGAACTAAAACAATAATAGCCATGATTCGTCAATGCCTGCGTCAATCGATATGACAAAAACCCATGAGTTCTGGATAACCACTCCTCTAAGTGTGAAACTACTAGTTTTCGGGTGTACAACGCAGCATCGTCCGGAAACATTTCAGTCAACATTTCTTTCCACTCTGTAATTATGTCATTCTTAGCTTTAAGTTTAACAACATTTCTTGCTTGATGGGTAAGCTTACATTGGTGTCTAAATTCTAATTCCGAAATACGGTCATACACCTTTTTCCTGCTCCTGGCCAAGATGACGAAGGGAGGAATTCCCGCTAAAAGCAGTAACGCCGTCAACGATACCGTACGATAGGCCGAGATAACTCTAATCGATATACGCCCCTGTATACGATTAATCGACTTTAGATTCCTCTTAGTGAGGACTTCATCCGTGGCCCATACCGGAGCACCATACAATAGTATGGAGTGCACTACGCTGGCGTATAGCTTACGCTTGTCAAATTTAGGACCACGCAGGTTGGGCATCAAGAGATCCAGTCGCGATAACACTCTTTCCGCCTTTCCCGATACCATCTCAAAGTGATGAGTAAATTTCCATCTATTGTCGATTACAATACCAAGGTACTTCATTCTATCGGTTGACTGGATAGAGACCTCATCCACTAAAAAGGTGAGACTTTTATCCTTAATGCCTGGACAAAACAGTACAGTACCTCCGTCTTAGAAGGAGCAACTTCGAGCTCTAGACTTTTAATTTTGCTTATCACTAAATCACAGATTAAGTTCGCTCTAGAGGTCAACAAATTAAAATTCCTACTGCTAACGATGATCAACATGTCATCCGCAAGCACAAAGCACAAAGTGTAAGAACCATACGGCATTTCAACGCTCAATACACTGTCGTATGTGATGTTCCACAACAATGGGCAATGGGGCTGAACTCTGAGGAACACCACATGTCACTGAGTGCTCTGTGTAGCGGCCGCTCTTCTTAATCGCTAAGATGCGACAGTTAGGTAATCCATTAGCACACGTATTATGTACAACGGTACCTGCTTGTCTTTTAATGCTTTTATAATTTGCCTCCAGGTCAAAGAATTGAATACATTGCGGATATCCAAGCCGATAGCCAAGCAATACTCACCCTCACTAGTATGATTTCGGATTATACGCTGCATCCTAATTATCGCATCGTTCGTTGACCTACCAGACCTAAAGCCATATTGTTGATGGCTGAGACGGCTCCGGAGGCCTCCCTCCAGATGGGAAACTATCCTATTAAACAATATACGTTCGAAGATCTTCTCTATGTCGCTCAATAGGCAAATTGGACGAAAAGACGACGGTGAGTCGTCCAACTTACCCGGCTTTCGCAGTAAAACCAAGCGCGCTCGCTTCCATTCGGAGGGGAATACGCCTTCCCTCATACATTTATCAAAACATTTAACAAAATGCGTCGAGTCCAACGAATAGTAAAGCCTTAAAATACGCGCCGATAAGCCATCCAATCCTGGAGCCGCCTTGCGAGAGCAGGACTTCTTTATTGCAGCTGTAACCTCATCTTCGAGCACTGCAGGAATAATCTCGTCCAGAACCCCAAGTGCATCCTTATTCCATTTGATGGCCATACGGGTAGGAAAGAGCGATCTCACCACCTCGCCGATCTTGACAAATAATCCAGTGGAGCATTGTACTCCGAACCTCGGATCTTCTTCATTATTGCCAGGTATGGCCTATCTCAAGGATTGGAGTTTATTTCCTCCAGTAGCTCACTTCAGGCCAGTTTTTGAGAGCGCGAGATCGCATTCCTCATATTCCGAGACCGTTGACTATACTGCAGCCGGAAGTCTTCATATTGCTGCGGATTGCGGTCTTTTCGTCTTCGAGCTCTGGTTAGCTTCCGTCGTGTTTGAATACATAGTCTGCGTAATTCGGCTATCTCCTCATTCCACCAGTAGGCCCTTCTTATGTGCACTTGTCTAGATCTAGGCATTGACAAGTCGCAGACACGAGACAACAACCGAGTGAGCGAGTGAGAGAAGTCGTTAGCTAAGCTCGTACGATCACACAGTACATCAGCACATCTAAGATATTCGTCCATGAACTTGTCAGGATCGACTTTGTCTGGATTCCAGCCTTTGCGCACCAAAGTATTAAATTTTCGCGGCTCAAAGCGTCCAAACTGCCAACGCATGTATCTGTGATCCGAGAAGGATACCAGATCACTCATCAACCTCCATGTAAAGCCGTCTCGTACCATCCTACCTGAAACCAGGGTGAGATCAACGATCGACTTTCCCTGGTCTCTTTCGCAAGTAGGTCTCGAACTATTATTAGCCACAACCAGACCCATCGAGTCAAGCCACCTCTCCAACAATGTACCTCGATCGTTGGTAATCGTATCACGCCAGCTCGTTGATCTCGCATTAAAATCTCCAGCTACGATAACTCTTTCCATCGGGTAGAAACGTACCAGTGTGACGTCAGGAGAGCCGTCAGGTATATTTTCTTTTTTTTCCTTTTCTTTCATCCTTCTTCTCTCTTACTTATCTGCGCAGAAGCGCCACTGTATTAGACTATAGCGTTAATACCGGACGGTAATAGCCGGCTCTCCCGCCGTCCAACGTATGGTGTAGAAGCATCCTGTCGTTATACACTATATACAATAGCGCGTTATATACTATAGCGCATGCGTTAAATATAAGTCACCGGAATAATTATCAAATGTACAGCAATATCATCGCACAACATTTCATTTTTTTTACGTAACTGTATTTATATATATATATATATATTAATATATATATTAACATAAAACACATTAACAATTATATCTTAAGCATCGGTATCTGTAATAATACAATTGATCAGATTAAATATGGAGCATCCGCATTTCCGTCGACTGCGCATAGTCCCCTGCCGGCCGGGTCCTGATTGGGCGACCGACGCACGACATAGAAACGCCCATCCAATGCAGCATCACCACCGCCACCACGTGCGATGGCGTACTCACGCCATCCGCCATCTTGCGCCGGAGTGCCGCCGCCGCAGAGCATAGCAGCGCTCGCCGAAGCGAGCAGTCACTCTCGAGTCCGCGCCGCCAACCCGTGAAGACGCAACTCTTGTGCGCTCCGCACGAGTGCCTCACGACATACTCCGCGTTCAAACTCAACTCTCAAATCGAATTCAAGTTCTAGTTAAGTTAATCGAGTTCTAGTTAAGTATTAATTTTAAACTAAGTAATACTTAGTGTTAATAATATTACTAGTCTAATGTTAAATCGTGAGTGTATTCTGTTTTATAAAATATATACAGTTTCGTACTACAACCACGTGCTCTCTTCTTTATTTCGCACCATCGTCTCGTTAGTAACTAAAAGTGTTTGCGAGGTTCGTGAGGCTTCACGCGAGATAAATAAATAAATTCTTAAACTACATAGCGTTGATTAAAACAAGAACGCGGAGCGTCTCCTGGAGCAAGTGTTGTGCGTCCATCCGCATTTACCACGACGGAGACTCGAAATTCTTAGTCGCGATAAACACCATCGTTCCTACGCGAAGTCAAAACGCGACGCGTATTGGCTCGCTGCCGAACGATAACCATTGTTTTACTTCCGTCAATATTTGAATAATTCGAAGCCTCACATGAATGCCGAAAGGCAGGAAGAATCGTGGCGGTCGCAAGACCTTCATCCGGCATCTCGAGTACGACCTCCACGTGGCAACCATCTTCAATTACAACGAGATAATTGGCAGGGAAGCAGAATTTGACGGAGAATACGAACTCCTAGTGCATGATAAGCTCTGGAGTGGCCAGCCCCGCCAGCACCCGTCTCCTCGACGTGCGATCTACAATTCCGACCTCGGATCTCCCTCGAGGAATATCTACGACGATCATCTTAAGTCACGGTAGGTGAACCAATTTGATAAGCTAAGTGCAAGTTCCGCTGACCCACGCGTAAGAAGGCCCGCTGCGCATACTCGCGATAATTTCATTAAACGACATATTAAAATTGCATGCCACGTGCATATTCCATTCAACGCTTCTTCTCAACAAAGGAATTCGCTGCGTAAGCAAACGTGACCGTTATCGCACAAAGATAGGGAAGACGACCCGACCGGAAGGGTTTTACGACCGATCCCTTTTTTTTTAGTACTGTTTACCTAAGCGTAGCAATTTCACTCGAGGAATGCACGTTCAAGTGCCCGTTTTTAACCTCTTGAGAATACATTGAAATATCCGAAATTATTTAGCATCATGTGCGGACGCACTTCACATTTACCAGAATCTTTAATTAATGATCGTGATGTGCTTTCCTCGAACTGATTTGACACGCGGTTCACGCACCCATCCAGCCGCCACTTTCCGTTATCGCGTCAACTCGGTGCGTTGCATCACCGCCTTCGGTTATCGTCGCGTAGATGACTCAGCCGCTAGATGTTTACCCAACAGCGCGGAAATTCTCTGCTATCGTTGCAAAGAATTAATACCCGAAGGCACGCTTACGTACCGTCTCGCTTTGTCTCATTCTTTCAAATTCGGGTACACCGAACCCGTGGATTTCTGCGAATGTTGCTACGCCCCTCTCTCTCTTATCCGCGGGATAGAACATTGCGAAGAATGTACCGAAATATATATAGCCGTCATACAAATCCTTGAAGGAGAGGGGGGAAATAATCGAGAACGCTGAGGGACGATATTACGTTGATGAATCGAGTTCCGCACCCAACGTAATTATTTCGCGGCGACTATTGAACTTTTCTCTGTCATTATTCCAACGCGAAGAATAAAAACCAGTCGAGGATATCCAACTCTCTACCTCGATCCAATTTCGTTGCTGGCGATTTACCGCTCGATCGCTGGCAGCGTTACCGATCGGCAGACGTGTCCCCCTTGTCCGGTGCTACGCGGCGTACCGCTCCCGCGGACCGTCGGCGCCCGTGACGTAACATAAAACTGGTGACAACGGTGGGATGCGTTAATCGGAGGAATCGAAAAATTTCGACACAGCCTACCGACCCGCGTCATATTCGCGCAGTAACTATTTCATATGCTTCGTACGCCGGTAAAAGGCGAGAAAGAAACAGACATGACCACGCGCGCCCAAAAGGGAAAGCTCGCGAACGACGACGCGGAGATGACATCCGTAGATAGGGCAGGCGCTCCCAAACCCAAGTTCACCGATAGCGAGTTCGATATTATGCAAACTAATATGGCCAAGCGCGCCGCGCAATTACAGGCCGATGCCGACGCGTTGCAACGAGAGAGAGAGGAGATTCGGGCAGAGAGTGTCGCACTACGAAGAAATCGCGCAGACGCGGAACAAAGCCGAGCCGCCATGCGCGAAATGAATAATATGCTCACCGCCATGCGCGCCGAATTAAATAATATACGCCACGTCATTGAAACACGGCGCGATCCGCCACCACGAAGCCCTAGCCTCCCTGCCGGGCAGCGGTTTGCAGAGACACCGGCGCTTTTCGGTGAATTAAACGAGTCAGGAGCGGAATTACCCCCCGCACCAAAGATAACTTATCGCGAGGCTACCGAGTTCGTTCCGATTTTTAACGGGTATAACATCCCTTTGTCGAAGTTCCTCGGGGCCTGCAGACAAGCACGCGACATCTTGCCATCCCATTTCGAGAGATCCCTCACACGCTTGCTAATAGCGAAATTGCGCGGCCACGCCTACTCAGCTGTCGCCGACGAGCCGTGCGACACGGTAACGCAGCTATCCGACCTACTAAATAGCGCCTTCGGTTCAATAAAAAGCGTTGCGCAATACCGTGGAGAACTGACCGCCGTGTACTTCCGATCGGGAGAACACATATTAGACTACATTGACCGCGTTAAGGAACTCCGAGCCTCGATAAGAGACGGAGAGCGCCGGGCACACGGCACTATAGACCTCGCAACGTGCCGGGAAATCGACGAACTTACTGCTTCATATTTCTGCGAGGGGTTACCTACCCCCCTTCGTCTACAACTTAAACCCGAACATTTCTACCAGCCGTTCGAGGCATTTGCCGCTGCAAAACTTATAGCCAAACGCGACGAGACAGAACGGCAGCGTTATGGAATGCTATCTCGCCTAGGGCCAAGCCTGAATAGACACACCCTTAGGGCCAACCGTCGTCCCCTCGAAACGGATGCAGGTTCTAGCTTGCGTTACAGGCAGCCCGCAACACCGGAGTGACGATGCTCACCTCCGTGACTCGACACGTACCGAGATCGCGATCGCAATTATTAACCGCGTTACCCCCCCGAATGGCCTGAGCGCCGCGACGAAGCTAGGCGAGCCGCTCCGCTCTACGGAAAAAACGAATCGTCAATGACGGTGGAAGGTGACAGAAGACTGCGTGATTTCGGACCGTCGCGAGATAACAAATGGTGCAGGTACTGCAAAAATCGCGGCCACGAAATTGAGGAGTGTCGGAAACGGCAATATAACAATAGCCGACTCCATGAGCAGGGAAACGGTCGGGATCCGCCCCGCGGGACGGACGCAGCGCGCGCGGATCCTCTGAGGAATACGCGTCCGGTAAACACGGTAGAAGCGGTTCGCGAAGAAATGTCCGAATCGCAATCCTAAACTTATCTGAACATTCTCACGCCCCATCGGTAACTCTATCCGCTAGCGGCTTAGTAAAAACAACCGATTTCATGGTCGACACCGGGGCTGCGCCTAATCTCATAAAGAAACGATGCCTGCGCCTTGACACTTCTGTAACGGAAAACGATACAATTTATCTCACTGGTATCACGGACGGGAAGATAGAGACCTTAGGGTCAACGAAAATAGAATTCGGGGGTCACGAAATAACATTACACGTCGTTCCTGATAGCTTCCCCATCGCACAGGAAGGGATCTTAGGATCCGACTTTCTCCGCGATGACGCCACTATCGACTTCGGTCGCGGATTTGTCGAGTGGCGAGGGATCAAATTGCCTTTCACGCGCCAAAAGGGCCTCCTTGTCCCCGCGCGGTCACGGGCAACCTTCTATGTAAACATTTCCAACCCCGAAATTAGCATCGGCTACCTGCCGCGACTTAACGTCGCGGAGGGAGTCTATCTGGGGGAAGCGATCGTTACGAACAGGAAAGGAAAAGCCTACGCTCAAATCATTAACGCTACGGAGGCGGATCAAGAAATTACTATCCCCACAATTCGGTTGGGAGAAATAGAAGCCGTCGCATCAATTCCCCCCGCGAAATCCGCGCTGTCAACTGCACCACCGTGTCTCGATCGCGAGAGGCACCGCGCGAATGCGATAGAATCACAGAGGTCCGAGGTCTACTTAGGTTAGACCATCTAAATGAAACAGAGGCGAACCATGTCGATATTCTTATAAAAAAAAATGCCGATCTCTTCTAACTCCCCATGAATCAGCTGGGATATACAAATGCAATTGCGCACACTATAACTACAACGGACAACGCGCCCGTGAATGTGAAACAGTACAGATTTCCGCCAATGCACAGGGAGGAAATTACTAAACAAGTAGATAAATTATTAGAAAATAACGTGA